ACACACACACACACACACACACACACACACACACACACAAACATCCCTGACCAACTCCTGTCTGGATGTGGAAAGCAACATTCAATGTTTTTAATGTTTGATCGTGGATTCCCCTGCTCATCATCCCCTCGAGTGAATTCCTGATGGTGTCCGTGATCTTTTCCAGTACTCCGTAGTGTCTGTACAGCGTCCAGAATATCTGTCCATCTACGGTGCCAAATATTTTTTTAAGGTCTGTGAAGCTGACACAGTCGGACGATTTCTACTTCAGAGGCCACTCTATGATAATCTGCAGTGTTGAGATCTGGTCTGTGCAAGATCTTTCCTTCCAAAAACCAGCCTCCTGGTCTTCAAAACTGGGGGTCTACTGCCTCTTTCATCCTGTTCAACAGTACCTGGTTGTACATTTTTCCTGGAATTGATAATAATTTGATCATCTGTAATTGGAAAAGAAGTTGAGGTCCCTCTTCTTTGGAAGTTTAATGAGGTAGCCTTCCTTCCATTTTACAAGGGCTTTCTCCTGTTCCCAAATACAGCCATTCTCGAATAGGGAAGGTAGCATCTCCATGCTGATCTCATCATGAGCTTCCAACGCCCCAGCTGGTATACCATTTGGTCTCACAGACTTACCACTCCTCTGTTGCTTAATGGTTCTACATATCTCCTACTTGGTGGTTATTATTGCAGTATACAGGCATGTCACTGTCAGCTGGCTGGATATCTGGAGGGTCATGGGGTGCTGGTCTGTTCAATCGCTCATCAAAAAGCTCAACCCATCTGTTCCCCTGTTAAAAGACATCGGGTATTTTCTTCCCATTCCTTCCTTAACGGGCCTCTCTAGTTTATTGCACTTCCCTGACAGCTTTTCGATAGTGGCGTAGAGGTCCCATGTGTTCCCCTTGTAAGCTACTTGTTCTGCTTCAGTTGCCAACGTATAGTTTCTCTTGTCTGCATTGGTACCTGCATTAATAATTCTGTCGGCTTCCACAGTATTCTGCCGGTGCCTTGATTTTCTCAGCTCTTGTTCGGCTGTTGTTGACAGTATCCTCTTAAAGAGACAGATGAAATATATTACTTGCAGTTTTTTCCTCTTTCGTTATAACACATCTTGTCGTTTTGTTGTGACTGCCTCTTTCATTTGAAGCCACTCCTGGTCAATGATTTCCTCATCTAGCAGCTCCTGTCAGATTAAGTACTCATTGGAAAGTGTGATTTCTTAACACCTGTATGCTCTGTTGGTTCTCTCAGATTGATAGTGTTGTACCGTAGTCCCTTACCCGTCACCACTGTCCAGTTTCTCTTCATCTTTAATTTCAACCAGGCAACCAAGAGATGATGGTCCAATCCCACTACACCCCGCTTGACTCACATTGAACACGCTTCCTCCAATTTTAAGGTTACTCAGAGCACACAGGTCTTCGAATCTCTCTCTGTTCTCATTCATCTCTCTTAAACCTTGTTGTCCCATTATCGCTCTTCGTAGCCCCTGTTTTTGCTGCTGATCTTGATGTTGAAGTCTCTCATGATGACATTGCGTCCTGAGCAGCTGTGGACAATGGCTAGGAACATATAGAAAAAATCATTGTACACTGTACACTATCTATACTGATCCTCTTCACTGATTTCTAGGACAGTGAGGTTGTTGCTCTTCATCTCAGGCCAGGACTTGTTCTGTTTCCCCAGCTTCAAACATGGTGCTCCGTTTGTGATGATGATCCTGGGTAGAGAAGATGGTCGTCCGCCTCAGCTTCCATTTCAGATCTTTTCTTTCGCTGCCTAGTTTCATTAACCCCCTTACCGAAGATCCATCCACTACCATTTCAGAAATATCCATCGATTCTTTTGTTAACGTTTGGTAGCTAGATTATTTTACGGGGAGAGACAGATAACACTTTGCCCTACTTCGCTCCTTTCTCGGGCAGACTACGCTTCTACCTTATATTACGTGCTGGATAATTATTCGAATTAACGTTTTGATTTTTATTGAATAAAATAATGTTTTGACTTTTATTTTTTTGTTTTCGTTTAGGGTAATTTGATGACTCTAGAAACAAAAGTAGATAGATAGATAGATGGATAGATAGAGAGATAGATAGATAGATAGATAGATAGATAGATAGATAGATATGTGGAAAGCAACA